TCAAAGAAATCACAAGGTCAGGTGAGACACAGCAACAGCCCAATGCCGAGTAACAACTTCTGACTTAGTTACTTTTCTATAGCTGTGATAAAACAGTGTGGCCAAGGCAGTTTTTAGAAGGAAGGGCTGGTTTGGCTTGTGGCTCCAGAAGATAGAAGTCCATGATTTGAAACTGTGACCCAGTTACAAATGTCCTTCAGCAAAGCCACACTTCCTAAACCCTACCTGATCAGTGCCATCAACTAGAGACCAAATATTCAAATTTTCAAGACTGTGTGTGGGACATCACATTCAAACCACCACAAAAGTCATTAGACGAGCCAAATGACTTTTAACTAGAGTTACACATAGGGGCACGGATAAATTACTAGTGACTACATTGTTACAATTTTGCGTGTGGGGGATTTTGGCGTCTTCCATCTCAGGCGAGGTACAAACATGCCAGACCACCAGAGCTCAAGTGAGAAGCTCTATTAGAAAGGGAAGGGAATGGAGAAAGGGAAGGGAGAATGGGAAGAGAAGATAAAGGGGGGGAGAGAAAGAGGGAGGGAGAGAAGAAGGGAGAAAGAGATAGGAAAAGTCCTGTCTGCCCCGTGGGCCAGAGGAACAGCAGGAACGGAAGTGGGTGGAGTTTTTCTTTTAAAGGGTCCTTTGCACCAACGTGCAGACTACATAGTGGCTTAGCAGCCATAGAACCCTGGCTGACCAGGGTACTGCCTGAGTCATTCTGCCAGGTGACAGGGGGCAGGCCAGCGTAATGCCTGAATCCTTACATACATCACTGAAGGGAATGATTTTGTTTTTGAACATAGAGCCTAAAATATAATTTAGAAGCAGGAAAGTCTAGCATTTAGAAAGGAAAGGATTTAGGCGTTATTTGGAAGACTTGTTTTCAACCAAGAATCAGTAGAACACTCCCAGGCACAGGAGCACATGCATATCCTTCCAGACCTGAGATGCTGAGCAGGAAGTCCGTGAATCCTAAGCCCTCCTGGGGTATGTAGTGAGACCTTGTTTTAACAAACAAATGAAAACAAAAATAAAGACTGAGTGCCAGTGTGATGCAGCATTCACACTAGAGCTGAATGTGAGGAGCAGAAGCAATGTGCAGATGGTTTACAAATGCCAGGTTAAAGATGTTCCATGTAAACTCTGCATTCTCACCCATCTCTTCCCTCTCCGTTTTAGGTTATTTGTGAATGATGTGCGAATGGGTGGTGTTTTGTATTTCTTGTTTTGTATTTCTTGTTTTTGTATTTCCTGTTTTTATTGTTGGGCCCTTCTTGGCTAGTTTCATTGCCTGAGGAAGCCCCCAAAGTCTGGAAGGTTGAAACCCAGAGAGAGAGAGAATGGTTTTGTTCACAAAAGGAATGGATACTTTATCTCTGTCTTGCCACTGCTGTGTGTTGTGTATTGCATCTGTGGACATTGAAACACATCATGTACATTTGATATGATTTGGCTTCTGTTCAGCATCTTACATTCAGAAATAGAGCATTTAGTTCCTGCATTTTTTGTTTATTTGGTTTTTTTTTTTTGGTGTTTTTTTGTTGTCTTTTTTTTTTCTTTTTTTTGAGACAGGGTTTCTCTGTGTAGACCTGGCTCCCCTGGATCTGTCTCTGTAGACCAGGCTAGCCTTAAACTCAGTGATCTGCCTGCCTGGGCCTCCAGAGTAGTTACTGCATTTGTAATAATCTATCTGGAAGCAAGTTTGCTTACTGCAAAGTGTTTGTAGCCACGGGCTACTGCTAGCCAGTTTGGTGACATCAAAGTTCTGAAACTGCTTATATGCAATATTACTATTGACCTTACTGTGCAAATAAAGTCTGTTCTCTTCCAATTTTCAATTGATTGCTAAGTACGAAGATGTTACAAACACTTTAAAATTGAGTTTGACCATTGCTCTAATTCTGGCTTTTAAACATCTGAATACTGTGCAACTTGGGATTTCTGCTTCTTAAATACTTATTTAATTTGATTTATTATTGCTTGGTATGTGCTTATGGTGTGTGTGAGCATGGAACACATATGCCATGGGGCACATGTAGAGGTCAGGAAAACTCTTGGGACTTGGATGTCTTCTTCCTCAGCAGGGTCTGGAGGTTGAACTCAAGTTGTCACACCTATGAGGTGAGTACTTTTACCCTCTGAGCTATCACACTGGGCTGATTGCCAAGGGTTTCCTTCAAGAAAGTTCTGAGAGATATACATAGAGGTAAATGTGCCAAGACATTCATTAAAACTCTGATGTCACCCGGGACATGATGGTGTATGCCTAGAATCTCAACACTAGGGAGGCTGAAGTAGACAGGAGGATTGCTCTGAGTTGGACACTTCCTAGGCTACAGGGAGAGACTCAAAAAATTCACACACAAAGAAGGAAATAACTTAAACAGGGAATAGAATAAGTCTGATTTGATCTAGCCTTCGCTTATTTGTTTTAGTTTATTTTTGTGTGAACGTGGGTATGTTTGCATGGATTTTCATGTAACACATGCATGCCTGGTGCCTGCAGAGGCCAGAAAAGGGAGCTGGCTTCTCTGGAATTGGAGTTAAAGATGGCTGTGAGCTCTCATGGTGGTTCTGGGAACTGAACCCATGGACTCTATAAGAGCAGTGGATGCTCTGAGTCATCTCTGCAGCCCCACAGCCATTCTCTGAAAAATACCAGAGGTATAAAAATGGCTATGTATTTTTCTTCTGTGTACATGTATTTTTTGTCTGTCTGTCTGTATGCATATATGTATTTTACCTTGCTACTAGGGATGGTGCCTAGGACCTCATACATGCTGGTCATGTGCGTTGGAACTTCCATCATCATGGAGACCCCACCCCCCTGAAGACAGGCGGGGCAGGCACAATGACGTGGCCAACTCATCACTACGTCACTCATTATGGGACTCTGTGTGCATGCAAGAGCTCCCCCTTTTAAACTCTGGGCCATTAGCCACCCCCCCACCTGGTTGTCCAGTTAATAACCTCCCCCAACTTTCTGCCCTTAATAAACTCCATGTGGGTCTCTTGATTTGTGGTTAGTAGGTCATTACCGGTCGCTGCAGCAAAATAACAACAACGTGCTCTACCACTGGGCTAAACCCTCTAGCATTTATTTTATAACTTTTGTGTAGCACAGGCGTATTGTGTTAGTTACCTTTCTCATTGCTGTGAGGGAAGGCTTTAACTCGGCTCACAGTTTAAAATGGTGCAGTCCCTCGTGACACAGAGAACCCTGTAGAGTTCACGATGGCATGAACACGCAGCCAGAAAGGCACAAAGCAGAGAGCAGCAAGGTTTGGAGCTCCTTTCCTCCTGTTAGTTCAGTCTGGGCCCCAGCCAATGGGATGTCACTGCTTGTAGGGCACAAAAGTCAGTCAAAGATGGCACTGAGGGGAAGTCAGATGGAACCAGATGAGGTCACTGCATGAACAGCTCGTGTTCACTAGGTAAAGTGTAGGGTGCCTAGGTGTGTGATAGGCTGAGCTTTAAAACCATTGACTGGCTGTCCATCCGGCTCTCCCCTCCCCCCTTCAGTTTTTTTTTCTTTAAAAGATGCTTACTGTGGGACAATAAATGAGTTCCTGCTTGACTAGACTCCCTGTTGCATCTGACTGTCTCTGGGATTCTGGGAGGCCAGCGTACTTACCTTTCCTCTGACCCAGCTCAGCCCTCCATGGTTGTGCTAAGACCCTGCAACTGCTGATGTTCAGGGTGGGTGTTCCATCCTCAGTAAACTTCTCTGGAGAGGCCCTCCTGGTGTATGCTCAAAGGTGTGGCTCTCAATGATCCCAGATCCAATCAAGGTCTTGATGATGGTTTACCGTCACCATAAGTTTTCAACTGGAGAAGTGGTAGTTTGTGCCCAGCTCAATGTTTTGTTCAATATAATATCCCTTGCTCCTTGCAAGCTTTTATTTTTCCAATTAGATCCTATTAATCAGTATAACTTGGTAGCTAAAGTTCAGCCTTCCCCAGCCCTGAGATTTACCTTTTGTCCTTTGCCTTTACATCTTCTATTTTTGTGATTTCTTCTCAATTTCAGTTCCTGAGACTGTAAGTTACGGAGAGTGCACTGGAGAGCTGTCAGGCTCGCTTTCAGCACTGCACACTTCTGCAAGCTCGTGCGGGAGGTCAGATGTCTTCTTGTTTTGTTTTTGCTTTTGATACAGGGTCTCATGTAGCTCAGACTGACCTCTAACTCCAAACTTCTGCCTCTACCTCCAGATGCTGGGATTCCAGGAGAGTGCTGCCTTGCCTGTTTTAGGAGGTCAGGGACCCTTAGCTACTGTTCTATTTCTATCCCTGAGGTGGCTGGAGGTATAGCTCAGTGGAAGAACACTTGTCTGGCATGCATGTGGACCTGGGTTTGAGCCCCTGTGCTGTAGAACAAGTGTGCAGACAAACCTCAGAACAGTGCGCAGACACCCATTACTTAGTAACTGCTGCCTTTGTGAGTGAATTAACACAGAATGTCTCTATTACTGTTGACTGCTATTGTGTGTTTAATGTGCCCTTTGGCTGTCTCTACCTAGTTAAAAACTTGAAAGCACATGGTGTTTATGAAGAGGGTGGCATTGTTCATCCTCTCACTACGTATAGCCCCAACAGCACAATGCAGTAGAAAATGCTATGCATTTGAAGCAATGTTTTCCATAAGAATACTGATCCCTAGCATGTGCTCCATAGGTCAGAGAACAAATGGTGACAATATATGTTAAACTTCTAGTCCACCTGTCACCCAGACTCAGAACTGAGATGGGTGCTCCCCTACACCACCCACCCCAGCTTTCCTCTGCTTGTCTGATGCCTGTGTCCTTTTGAGGAGGGTCTCGCTGTGTAGCTGGTACCTTGCATGGTACTGCCAGCATTGCCCAGACTGGCCTCAGACTTGCAGCAATCCTCCTGCTTCTGCCACTCCTGCAGGCACAGCTGACTTTAATTTCCGTTTCCTCAAGGAGCTACTTTCCCCGTTTCCTTTGCCGTCTTGCTCTGTCAGCTTCTTTAAAGGGGCCTCAAAGTCTTGTTGCTATGTGTAGAATTAATGAGAACAATTGAAAAAAAAATGGCTGAGCTTCTTAGGAGCTGTGAAGGCCTGCACCTCACTGTACTGTTGCATCTTCCTCCGAATCACCAGGTAGGAGGCCTCCTAGGGAGCCTAGAGTCTCATTTCAGAGGGTCTGGGAAATAGGCGGGTCTTGCCAGAGTCAGAGAAAGACCGGAGAGTGCTGGGTTTGGGACTTGCCAGGTCAACTCTTGTTACATTTCTGCATGTCACTGGAGGGACCCTTGGCTAGTCACTGTAATTTAGTATCTCTTCCCTTGGGTATAAAATTCTGAACCATACTTACCTCTGGGTTTTTATGAAGATGAGAAAATGAATGGCAGTGTGTTCTGTAAACATTGCTTCTGTCTACATGTGTCTCCCACAGACATGAAATGGATAACTACATCACAGATTCACTTTTTTATTGAATTTGATTTGTTTAGTGTGTGTATAAAACATTTTACAAACTTAAAAAGTCCCATGGTCTTTATAAATTCAAACACTTTAAAATTCACTGTCTTTAAAAATCCAAGCTCTCTGCTCTTTCTAAGCCGGCCCTTCGTAAGAACAGCTCCTCAGAGATGCCAGACTCGTCCGGCTTCTCGTCACTGAGCTTCTCAAGGTGCAGCTGGGGAACTCAACATCACCTCGGTCAAGGAAATCAAAGTTGGTGGTGGCCCAAAAGCCATCATAATTGTTGTATCATTTTCTCAGCTGAAATCTTTCCAGAAAAATCCAAGTGCAGCTGCTTCGGGAATTGGAGAGTTTAGTGGGAAACACGTGGTCTTCACTGCTCAGAGGAGGATTCTGCCTGAGCCAACTCAGAAAAGCCGTACGAAAAATAAGCAAAAGCACCACAGAAGCCGCACCCTCGCTGTAGTGCATGATGTCATCCTTGAGGACTTGGTCTTCCCAAGTAAACTGTGGCCAAGGATCCTGGTGAAACGGGATGGCAGCCGGCTCGCAAAGGTTCATTTAGACAAAACAGCAGAACAACATGGAGCACAAGTTCGAAACTTTTTCTGGTGTGTATAAGAAGGCCAAGGGCATGTTAATTTTGAATTCCCAAAGTTTCAGTTGTAAAGAAAATGACTGAATAAAATGTCATTCATAGAAAAAACATTCAAAGTCTCTCTCTCTCTTTCTTGTTTTTTGTTTTTTTTTTTCGAGATAGGGTTTCTCTGTGGCTTTGTAGGCTGTCCTGGAACTCACTCTTGTAGACCAGGCTGGTCTCAAACTCACAGAGATCCGCCTGTCTCTGCCTCCCAAGTGCTGGGATTAAAGGCATGTGCCACCATCGCCCGGCCAAAGTCTCTTTTAAAACCTAAAAAAATCTCTTTAAAAATTCAGTTTTTCAGTTGTGAGCTCCTGTTTTAAAAAAAAAAAGTAAATAACTCCTTACTAAATCAACAGGGAGGTTGCAGGGTACAGTTACAATCGGATTGAATTCTAATAGTGTAAATCCCTCAATGTCCAGTATCTGGGATTCACTCAGTCTTCTCGGTCATTTCTCTGTCTCGGCCCTGTGCAGCACACACAGCTCATCTTCTGGGCTCAGGCTGGCTCCATTCCACTGCTGTTACTGTTCTTGGTGGTCATCCCATAGTACTGGCATCTCCAAACTGGGCTGCACTTTGACCATTGGACTCTCCTGCACTCTCTCCATGGCTCCAAGCCTCATCTTCTCTACGTGCGGCCTTCAATCCTGGGCCTTCAACTGCTACTTAGGCTGTACCTTCACCGACAGCCTCTCCTGGCCTCTCATGGTGTCAATCCCCAGCTGCTCTCCATGACCCATCTGTGCCTTCAAAATCAGCACTACGTGGTGACTCTTACACTACCAAGTTCAGCTGCCGGAGTGAGGTACAGCCTTGGCTGCCTCTAGAACACAGCTTCTGTGTGCTGACTCTCAGGAAACAGCTCCAGAAGATTTCATCTCTTCTTAATCACCTCTGTTTTCTCAGCTCCAGCTAGCCCGCATCAATTAACCCAGTAACACAAAGGTTTCACTTCAGTGGTGCTGATCTCGGGTTAGTCACAGCTGACTCCAGACACAGCTGATCAGAACCACAGACCCTTAATTCAAATAGCAAATATGCACTGTCCCCAGTAGTCCTCAAGAAACTCTCAAACTTCCTCTTGGAACTTCACAAGCCAGACCACCATCATCTGTAGTTTGTTTGTTTGTTTGGTGTGTGTAATATGTAGTCTTCCCTGCCAACTGCCTGGGCCCTGACACAGTTGCAGTTCCCAAATAACACACAAAACACTATATTAATTATGAAGCTGTTGGCCATTTGATTGGTTTCTTACTGGCTAGCTCTGACTTAAATATTTAACCCATAATTGTTAGTCTAAGTATTTCTCTTACCAGAGAAAAGGGTCCAGACCTCTTACTCCTTTGGTGGTCTACATCATGTCAGTCTGTGTCTCTCTTTCCCAGAATCCTCCTCGACTCATAGTCCCACCTATCTTGCTTCCATATTGGCCAACAGTGCTTTATTCAAACCAATCAGACACATATTTACAGAATGACATCTCCCAATAGGTGAGTGTTTTATTTTATTTTATTGGGTTTTTTTTAAAGACAGAGTTTTTTTTGTTTGTTTGTTTTTGTTTTTGTTTTTGTTTTTTTTGTATAACAGCTTTGGCTGTCCTGGAACTAACTCTTGTAGACCAGGCTGGCCATGAACTCACAGAGATCTGCCTGCGTCTGCCTCCCGAGTGCTGGGATTAAAGGCGTGTACTACCACACCTCCATCTGCATTTCTCTCAACACTCTTATCTTCCATGCTCCACATAACAACTCACCAAACCTTAAACAGTCAATGACTTTTCTTGTCCAAATTTCCAAAGTCCTTCCATAATCCTCCCCCAAACAAGATGGTTAGGTCTGCCACATGGATACCCCACTTCTGGTACCAACTTCTGTCTTAGGGTTACTATTGTGGATATGAAACACCATGCCCGAAAGCAAGTTGGGGAGGAAAGGGTTTATTTGGCTTACACTTCCACATCACTGTTCATCTTATTTGAGGCTCCCTCCTCTCAGATGGTTTAGCTTGTGTCAGGTTGAAATAAAACTACCCAGCATAGGGTTGTTTACCTGAGGAACAAGCACAAGAGATAAACAGAAAGGTAGCAGTTCTGGCGTTGTAAATCCAGACATGCCAGAACCACACAGTGGTGGCCACTGAAGGGCCTTGTGTGCCTTTAGATGGGCCTTCCTTGGCTGTAACGCTAACGTATTCTCTCTGTCTCTGTCTGTCTGTCTGTCTGTCTCTCTCTGTGTGTGTGTGTGTGTGTGTGTGTATGTGTGTGTGTGTGTGTGTGTGTGTGTAGGTCAGAGGGCAATCTTGAATGCCATTTCTCAGAGACTTACCACTTAGGCTAGGCTAGTTATCCAGGGAGCCCCCAGGAGCACCAAGGAGCTGTGTGTGTCTCCCGGAAAGGGGCTTGCAGATGCACACTACTGTGCCAGCTTTTGACATGGATATGGGGAGTGGTGTCAAAATGTGCTTACACAGCAAACACTTTACAGGCCAAGTTATTTCCCCAGCTCTGACTACTAATATTTAAAAATGGAAACTGAGTATTTAAACTCTAGAAGTCAGGGCCTGGAGATATGGGGCTAAAATGATGTCTGTTCTTGAAGGGTACTGGAGTTTAGATCCTAACACCCACAGCAGTCAGCAATCTCCTCTTCTCTCTCTCTCTCTCTCTCTCTCTCTCTCTCTCTCTCTCTCTCTCTCTCTCTCTCTCTCTCTCTCTCTCTCCCTCCCTCCCTCCCTCCCTCCCTCTGTCTCTCTCTCTGTCTGTCTCTCCCTCTCAAATAAAATATGTATTTTTTTAAATCCAGAGATTAAGATTTTGCTATTTGAAAACAGGAAGAACGGTTCATACCAGGTTAGGCTCTTCCACGGGGACAACTGGCTAGTACAGTATACCAGCAGCCATTGAGACATGCCGTCTCTCACTACCACAGAGAGAGACCCATCTCCCTCCCTCTGGTCTCTCAAACCCCATCTAACAGCATATACAATAGGGTTTATTGCCTGCTAGACACTGTTATAGATACCTTGGCGAACCGTTCTTTCATCCATCTACCCACCTGCCCCTCAAATGTAACAAAAAGAAAGCACACTTGTATCAGGCATCAGAGTGTCTCCCTCAAGGCTCTCTGAGTTTTACTTCTGACCACTCAGTTGTATCATCTGGTATTGAGTTTATTTGGGATGGTTGGAAAGGAGGCAAGATACTCCAAATCAAAGGTAACCAAAGTGAAGGTTGTTCCAGAGCCTCTCACCCAGGACACTGTCTTTGTTTAATTAGAGAAGGGGACACACACACACACACACACACACACACACACACACACACACACACACACACACACACACACACGACTTTTGTAGTTACAGATCAAAAGTTCAGCCAGGTTAAAACCCTGCATTGAAGGCCACCTGAGCAGTGCAGCCAGGGAGAGAGCAGGATGATATTGTGAGCCTGGTGCAGACAAGCAGGCCTTGCTGCAGAGGCTGCTTGCGGGGGCTCAGGGTTCCCCTCTAATACCAGGGGTAGGAGACTGATCTGGGTACTGGGGTTAGGGAGGCAGCCATATGGTGTCTTTCGACCAGTGTAGTGTGGGATGAAGACATTCCTCCTTCCGGGAGTCCTGCTGAACTTCATTCATTGCTTTCACAACAGAAGAAAGTGGGTTTTGTAACACCAGCATCCCCACAGCGCTGGCCTGACTGTTTACTTCTGCCTCTGTCCCTGAGCCTATGAGCAAATACTTCAGGCACTGTTAACGAGCAGAAACTTGAGACAGAGCTTATCTTGTAATGCTGGGGTTTGCATCATATCCAGGGCGTGGTGCTGCTGCTTTAGAAGGCAAGTTAAATAATTACGTGTTTACAGATTGAGCAAACAGCATGCTTGGCCCAAGAGGACTCTGGATCTGCTCTTTGAATGCTCAGTGAACCAACTTGTTCAGCAGGAGGGATACTCAGAACTTGGAGGCATCAAATGGTTTCAATATTATATATATATATATATATATATATATGATACTTATGTATATATGTACATTATGCTTACATGTATATACATATGTCTATGTATGCATGGGTATACACACATGCCATACACTCACACAGACCACACATATATAAACAAATAAATTAAAGTTAACATTTAAAAGAAAAGAATGAAGCTAATGGTGGCTCTAACGACGGTAGCATGAATTTCTGTCAATTTGCCGTTTATGTAGGAAACACCAAAACCATAAAGTAGCATATTTAATATGCCACACGTCATACACAAGTGGTACACAGATGGGTCAATGACCCAGGTTTGTTAAATTAACCTTAATAGACTCACATATCATCTCTAAGCCTGCTACTCTATTTTTTTTATTGCTGTTGTTGTTGTTTTTATTTTATTTTTGTTTTTGTGACACGGGGTTTCTCTGTGTAACCAACCCTAACTATCCTGGAACTCACTCTGTAGACCAGGCTGACCTGGAACTCAGAGATCTACCTGCCTCTGCCTCCCGAGCGCTGGGATTAAAAGAGTACACCACACCACCTGTTGTGGCCTGAGACGCTTATGTCAGCCTCCTGAGCAGCCAGGACTGCAGGTGTCCAACCTTCGAGCAGCCAGGACTGCAGGTGTCCAACCGGGTGGTGTTATTTTGTTGTTGGTTGCTTTGTTGGCACCGAGGATGAGATCCAGGTGCTCAAGCATGCTGACTCTAGTTTTCAGTCTGTCAAACGTTGTCATACAACAGTGTCATAAGAAGCATTAGTCATGAGCCCCAGCCCACACCCTCACCTGGTGTCTTCAGTTTATTGCTCTTAGATGATTTCTCCGTCTTCTATTTTTGCTCTTCAAGGACAGTGCAAGCCATGGAAGTTATCTTCTGGCTGAGGGCTTTTTAAGCATGCTTGAGACAGAGCCGTCACTCATCCTTATATCTTGACAAGAGACAGAAAGGCAACTGCTCAGGTTGTGAATCTCTCCTTCCCCTCCTCATCTTGGCTTCTGTGAACTTTGTGGGGAGGGCTTTAGAATTATCGGTGTAGTTGGGCCAGTGCCCCTGCTGTTCTTAGAAGTGGCTTC